TTTAGAAGGAACAGAGTAATTTCGTTGTTCAAGAAAAAAAACAAACTGTGCACTACTTGTTTTATTTACCTGATCCATCTAAACTTGTGACCCCTAACCAATTTAGAATCTACTGTTTACTTTTTGCCAGTTTGCTTCAAATTTGCGAACTGATGGAAAAGGAAGATCCAATGAAAGCTATAATTTCACCCGCGGGTATTTCTGATGCACTTCGAAAGGAGATAGAGGCAGTGGTTAATCAGATTGCTGTAAACATCCACGGTGTCTATGTTTTGAAGTCATCGCCAGATAATCCACAGTATGATGCATTGAGGTTAGTAACTATTGCTATATAACTAACACTTAAACACCTTGCTCCGTGGCTAATACATAGTTTTTGTTCTCAGGAAAGTTGTAATTGATCTTTTTATGGCCGAAGGGTCGAATGCAAAGCTAAAGAAAGCATCTATAGTTGAAGCTGCCAAGTTGCAACTGGGAAGGGATGTCACCACTGTGGAGTTTCAAAAGGTGAGTACTTTTCTTACTTGTCATGAGAATTAAGTTATATCTTCTTTGACTTTATTGTATGGGGTTTCAGGTAGTGGCAGAAGTCAATAATTGAACAGTTTTTTTAATCATAGTTGATGCAGCGATTTCGATTAGTCAATCAATCAAATATGCCTACTTCGGGTTATTTAAATACTTGTAAGAAATTTGTCTTGAGGGCATATTTTAGGGGTCTCAAAAAATAGAGGTTCTCTATATCTCAAACTTGTATGTACTCGAACCTAATGTATGTGTAGCTACAACCATGAAAGCTTAGTACAAGTAGTTCTGTAGTTGTATTCTATCTAACCAAGTCCACATTAACTCCAATTGATTTTAGGTCTTTGATCCACCTCCAAATAATTTTAGGTCTATTTCATCTTTTTAACACTTTCAATCACTAGAATGCACATATGAACTGGTAACTTTCATGGTAAAGAAGCGTTTCAATGTTTCATGGACTTGCAAGTAATGGGATGTCGATGGAGGTTTTGTTGGATTTGGTCCTATAGATTGGTGAGACTTGACCCTCAGATAACCCCCAAGAAAGATTGTTTCAAGTACATTGGGTCTCTAATCCAGGGAAGCTGAGACATTGATGATGATATCATACATCGTATTAGTGGGCGTGAATGAAGTGTAGGCTTGCATTCAGAGTCTTTATGATAAAATGGTATCATCAAAACTTAGAGATAAGTTTTATAAAATGATGGTTAGACCGACTTTGTTGTATGAAGCAGAGTCCTAACCAATCAAGAACTCCCATGTTCAAAAGATGCATATCGCGGAAATGAGGATGTTGATCAAGAACTCCCATGTTCAAAAGATGCATATCGCGGAAATGAGGATGTTGAGGTGGATATGTGGGCACATATGGAGCGATAAGATCTTGAATGAGGATTTTTAAGATAAGGGGGGAGTGGACTTCGTGGTGGAAAAGATATGAGGGAGGCGAGATGAAATGGTTTAGACATGTGTAGAGGAGATGCGAAGATGCTCCAATAAGGAGGTGCAAGAGGTTGATTATAGTAGGGTACGAAGAGAGGTAGAAGTAGACTGAAAAAGTATTACGGAGAGCTAATTAGACAGGATATGACTCAACTTCGGGTTATTGAGGAAATGGCCTTAAGAGTTAAGATAAAAGGGTGTGGAGGACGCGTACTAGGGTAGATGGTTAGTAACCAGGAGTGTTGTCTTGCTTTTCGAGGGTTTTAGGTGTGTTGGTGTTTGTCCTCATACTGATTGTATTATTGTAGTTCTTGCTTTTGATATCTATCATAATTTGTTGTTTAATGTGTTTCGGTTAGAGCATTATTTTGTTCTTGTTCCTTTCTTGTAGGATTTGCACTGCTTCCTTGTTAGTTCTATGTTTTCCCCTCCACTGCTTTCTTACTCTTTGTTTGGATTTACTAAATTTGAGCCGAAAGTCTTTCAAAAAGCAGCCTTTCTACCTCCATGAGGTAGCGATTAGGTCAGTGTACACTCTATCCTCCATAGAACCCTTTTGTGGGATTCAGTGGGTATATTGTTGTTGTTGTCTGCTAGTTAAAAAGAATTTCCTTTTTAATTTTCCATTGAGTTTCAAGAACTGTTATTTTCTTTTTTCCCCTTCTTTTTATTATTATTGGATCTATGGTTTGGAAAGTTTTAATTTAGGGTGTGTGTTCGTTACAAAGGGAAATGCTTTTTTGAAAAAAGTCAGTTTCTTATTTTTCCGTGTTTTTAGTATTTAAGCAAAACATATTATTTTAAAAACATTTTTACATACTCTAGATAGTGAAATACTATGGAGATGGGGTTGTAGGTGTGGTGGGGATGGGGATGGGGCTAAGAGGGATGGGGTGAAGATGAGGTGTGTTGTGGAGGGTAGGGGAGATTAAATCAATGTGAAATCCCACTTTTAGAACTTGTTTTCCCTACTTTCCACTAGGCAAGTCATTTTCCTCATTTTTTTTCCACGAAGTTCCTCATTTTCAAGGAACTTGTTTTCCTAGAGAAAATGATCTCCAATTTTTTTAACCAACTGTACAGGGGAAAATGAGGAAACATATTCTGGGTCTTGTTTTCGTCCATTCCGGACACACCCTTATGTTCAAATTAATGACTGTCTTTTTCAAATTACTACAGGTAACAGAAAAAAATTGATTACGACAAATGTGAAAGTTCACCACAGACCAAGCTAATCATGTAGAGAAAACTGTGCATGATATTTTTTTTCATGGAACTGCTCTGTGTTTTAGCTATCAACGTAATCCTAGAATAGGAAATGATCTTCGGCACTGTTTTATGCAAACTGCTCATTTGTTATAAAATTAAGCCGATCAGACCTTTTTTAAAAAATAATAATTTTGAAGACCAAGTTAAGGTGGAATGCAGTATGTTTTAATCTCTTCTCCACCCCTCCTAGTACCATTTACCCCTCATATTTTTATGACTTGCAGCAGTGGTGATTTTGCACATTCAGATAACTAGAGACCAGAGAGAACAATATAAAAAAGGAAATGGAAGTGTAATCACCTATCTGTTTAGTATGTGCAAAGAAGAGAAAGAGACAGTCTCCAATCAGCTTTTTATTGAGGAGTGAGTGGAGAAAATTGTTTCCCAGTAGGTCTCGTAAAACAATGGCTAGACAAGTAACAAACCTCTTATCTATCCCAAGCTAGCTCTCATAGCTCCCCTGATTTTAAACAGTACATGTTTCTACTTTTGGGTAAACCACTAAAAACTTGTTATAAAATTACTTTAAGAAATTTAAATTTTGTAAGTTTTATATTGGAACTTCACCCTTCATCGCAGATGTTTCTGACCTTTAAATTGGGGTGTTATTATTTCATGCCTTAGTCCTGTTTGAATGTTTAGAGATGATCAAAGACATTTTCTGGAGTACGATAAAAGTTGGCAATTCTGCCTGACTATGCCAAATGAGTTGGAGATATCACTGCAAAAGAAACAAAAATGGCAAAGTTAACACTAGCATTTGACAGGATGCATTTCTTATCCTCTTTTGTATGGTGTGGTGATGTTTCTACCTCAGGCTTTGTTTTTTCTCCTGGCCTCCTGTCAGGTTTCTCTGTATTGCTCTTCTTTTATGTAAATTGGATCCAAGCAACTCTGTCATGATCCTGCTTATGTGCTGACACAGGCGGCTTGGCCTTGGAAAGTTATTGGGATTTAAATAACTTGGACATACGTGCACTATATTATGAAGTTGATCTATTTACCAGCACATGCAGATGTATCCGATAGATGTTTGCAGTATCCTGTTTCCGATCCTCTTATCCCAGTTCCCCATTATTTTTTTCCTTTTCTGATAGAATATAAAATGTGACAGTTCCAAACTTCCATGTCATCTGACTCTATACTACACCTATTGTGGTCTAGAATCTTTCAAGTTGCCTGGAACTTTGTATTGTGAAATATTGGCGTTTTGTCATATTGCAGTGAATTTTAAAAAATTCGTGCAGAAGCTTCATTTCTTTTGTCTAATTCCTGATGGAAAAATATAGAAAATCTTTTCTTGACGACATGAATCCTATATATTTTTCTATGCTTGTGCAGGTTATGAAGGAACTATGTCGTTCAGAAAACTCAGCATGGGTTTTGGGAATCAGTGACAGCAATCCACAACAGTAGTCTGCTATTTTTGATTAAGTCGTACAGGTCATGGGAAGTTCACTGCTAGCTGCAGAAATTCTCAATGCTGAGGAGAAGTTGGCTTTTCTTGAAGTTCCACTTTACTCTTGAGAGTCATAATTGTTCAGTTTTGAGGTTAACACGGAGTCTCGCGTATATGGTTGAGCTGTTGATACGCTTCGCGGTGCATTTGCAAATCTGGGAGAAAATTTAGTTAGGATTAGCAGATGTCAAGCCTTTTTTGCTCATTCTTTTATCATTCAATTTATTCTTTTCATGAACGAAAATATAGTCAGATGTTTCTTTTCAATGTCTTGAATATCTCTGTTAAAATGTATGAATTGTTGCATCTCTTTACTTGCAGAAGAAAATCATTCAGCATATTTGTACCATCAGAAGAAAAATACAAGTTAAAAAGTTTGCCGTTCTTGTAATTATATACGTATTTGATTCACCAAGTTGTCAAATTTCTAACATTTTTCATTTGAGGTTGATGTGTTTTGTTAGTTAAAAGAGATGATATTTTTCATGTGGTAACGTAAATATCAACAACTGAAAGTACATAATTTTACTTTAGAAAATTGAATTGAAAATGTCAAGTATTTTAATGAAAAATATGAACAAGCTTAAGGGATTGACAATACAAATTAGTTTGATTTTTACTATTATTAATTGGTTGATTTGCTTTATTTGTAAAATATATAATATATCAAATAATAAATATTACTTCAAAATAGATTTTTAAATAAGTCAATATTTTAGCTATATGTCAATCTGCAGGTTTAATTAGGTGGTATTTAATTTTGCTATCCTCCGTGTAGGATAAAACGAAGGAATTGAAAACGCAGCTTGGAGTTTACGGTTGTACCCTTTTTTTAATTAGACAAAACCTAAAAAGGAAATCGCAATTGGATTTTGCAATTCCCAAATACAGAACGGCAAAACTCATTTCTAGCCCTAGTTTTGTACTGAAGAGAAAAATTAGGGTAAAAACGTAGTGGAACGATGCAGGAATATGAAGGTAATGGAGAAGATATAGAGAATAATGGTTCTTCTCCTTACAGTGACTCCAAGTCTCAGGTATTTTTTTTTTCGATAAAAAAATGGATTTGAACTTATAAAGGTGATGAAGTAATACACGTAGATATTTGCTTTAATTAGGGTTACGTATATGCTTTTGATTGTTTTATGTTCGATGACTGGGAAAGTTTTATATGAATTGCTTGATGGGATGCGATAGCTGGGTATATCTCTGTCTCTGTGTGTAGTTATGGTTTATGGAGTGTTGTGTTGATGAATTTCTTTTCTTAAGGGCGTTTATTCGACTACTTGTTCCGCTAGAAAGAGTGATGGGATTTGGAATAGAAGCATCAAAACATGTATAATCGGACAATTATTTTTTGAATTCAAATTACACTGTTGGAGTTATGGAATAGAGCCGATTACATAAAAGATGTAGGCTGTTTTTGTTGGTGGTCGGGTTGAGGAGTATTGCCTATGGTTGGCCTCTGGTAGGATCCAGAGAGGAGCTGGTTTGCTCCTGTTGGACAGCAGTTCTGATCTTTAACCTGTAAACGTAGCCAAAACAAAAATTTTATGATATAAAATTATTTTCCCTGATTTGTGTTGCTCTTTGTTTTAATTTCCTTAGCTTTAGATTAGTATGGCTTCTGCTGTATGGTATTCCGTTTTTGTTTATATTTTTAAGTTTTGTTGTTCTCTTCATAGACTAAACATTTTTATTATCATTTTCCAGCATACTTCTCGTGACCCCGAGAAAGAAAGGGGCTCATCAAGAAGCAGGGAGAAGGAGAGGGAGAAAGGGCGTGATAAAGACCGGGACAGGGACAGGAATAGAGATAGAGATAGAGACAGGGACAGAGGTAAGGAAAGGGACAAAGATAGGGATAGGGACAGAGAGAGGGAGAAGGACCGTGATCGTCATCACAGAGATCGTCATAGGGATCGGAGTGATAGGAGGGAGAGGATCAGAGATCGAGATGAAGATGATCTTCAGCGAACTCGAGATTACGATAGGTGAGTTCAAATGCAGTTCTAAAAGTTAGTTGGATTCATGTTCTGTACCTCTTTTCAGGTACTCATGTATGATGATAATACATAATTGTGGTATTCATTTTAAGAATCATGTTTGATTTAATTTTGAAGTGCTGTTTTTTCTTTGTCACTGTTCTCTATGCTCGACATGCTTTAGTGTGAGCTTCATATGAGATTCACCATTCATGTGTTTGGTGCTTGCTGATTTAGTGTCTCAACCAATTTCTTATCTTTCTTATGTTCTTGTATATGATTGTTTATTTATCCCTCAGGCGAAGAGACAATGACAAAGATAGAGAGGACCGACAGAGACACAAGCCTAGCTCTAGGGGTAGATCCGAGCATAGATCAAGGTCTAGATCACGGTCACCATCTAAGAGGTTTGTCTTACTCCTATATCTTCTTGTAGGAGCATTATCAAGATACGTTTTATTGGTTATTTTTGATGTCCTAATGCTCCGTTAGACTGGTTTCTTTCTTTTGAACTTTGAGTGAAGCAAATTGTAATTTGCTGTGATGTTGGCAAGACTGGTCATTGGACTATTTGATCTGTCAATTTGGAAAGAAATCACAAGTGTTGATGTTTTAGAAATTAGAACTATAGATAGAATTGGGCTAAAACATTAGGTGAAGACTTTGTTATTTGGCCATATGAGCTGATGTTGCCATGTTGGCTTACAAAAGTATTTGTTCTTGCAAAATCTTAAAGCTACTATGATGACTTTCACTCTCTAATTACTGGAACCTATTGGATTTTAACTGTTTGTTCTTTTCCTTTATTTTTTTTTCCTTTTGAATTCTCTGGGGTAAAGTCTGTTTATATTCTACTTTACATTCTATTGGCCTCCCTAGACCTCACTTGTGGGATTGCACTGGGTATGTTGTTATTGTGATTTTTCTGTCAGTGGCTAACTTCTATACAGATCGTAGAAAGTTAAATTTTCAACCATTTTATTATTTCATTCTCAAAAAGAATAATTCATTCTCAAAAAAATTTATCACTTCGCTGTTGGTACTAATGATGGTTCTTTTCAGCAAAAGGATCAGTGGTTTTGATATGGCACCTCCCACCAGTGCATTGCTATCTGGCGCTACTGATGTTGCAGGTACACGGTCCATCAATTTCATTACAATTTAAGTATCTTGAAAACTGTCATGTTTTTCCTGGACATAGTGTGGAAGTTCGTATCGAAATGCATGGTTACATTTTGGTAAGCTTTTTGTTTCTTTGACTTCCACCTATACTAGTAGCGAGTCCTAGTTAGATTAGCTCTTTTGCTTTTCTTTACTTTTTACTTGGTGAAATAATTCTGAGACTGAGGGTTTTGGTTTCTTGTTGTGTTTGGTGTTTGTTTGTTTGTTTTGTATTGTCTTATGTTCTAAGAAGGCAATGTTGGGCTACTTGCCCCACTGTGCTGACAATGGGCGTGAGCCGACTTCTGTAGCTTATATGTACAAGGAAGAATCGATACAGGTCTTGTTCATCTTCAAGGAATTGCTAGTTTGGTAGTTTACAAATATTTTCTCTAGTAATGAATTCACATTAAAATTCTCCATTCCTAAAATTGTTTTACTTCAATTTGATTACAAACTCTTCTATTTTTTCAAATACATCGAAAGACAAAAAAGATTTTAGTGTAAATATCCATTTATTTTAGCCACTTGAAGTATGTATGTATTTTCACTCACTGATTTGTAATTTACATGCCGCGCAGGTCAAGTTCCTGGGACCACTAACCCATCAATACCTGGAATGTTTTCTAACATGTTTCCTCTAGCAGCAGGCCAGGTACTGTGACAGATCCTTCTTAGCATACCTTCACTGGTTATCTATATTCTCATATATTTGTTTTGTGGCTTCTCTAGTTTGGAGCTCTCCCTATTATGCCAGTCCAGGCAATGACACAGCAGGTTTATAATTTGTGACATTTCCTATTCTCTCTCGCTTATGGGCTTCTTTTACCTGAAAAGCATTTTATTAAATGTTGCTTTTTCAGGCTACCAGACATGCTCGGCGAGTTTATGTTGGTGGACTTCCGCCTACTGCAAATGAACAGGTAGCAAACTTCCTCCCATGACTTTGCACATTGGCTGTTCTAAGATTTTGTCTGCTCAAGTTTGGAAGCCGCTGTTGTCTTTCTAGTTATTCTTTGTGGAATCATTTTAGTTTTTCCTTCACAAGCTACTGCTTGTAATATGGTGCAATATAGTGTCTTCACGTACATTTTCACAGCTGTGTATTCCATCTAATTAACTTTTTGACATAAACACTAACACATAGCTTTTCTGATTTACTGATGTCGTGCAGTCTGAAACCATTTGTAGTTGTAGGTATTTTTGTGTTTTTTTGCTAGACATCTTTATATTTTCTTCTAAATATATGGAATTGCTGCATCTGATCCTATAGTCTTTCGGAAACAGCCTCTCTACCTCCACGAGGTAGTGGTAAGGTTTGCGTATATTCTACCCTCCCACACCCCACTTGTAGGATTTCAGCAGGTATGTTGTAGTTTTGGTTAGACCATTAATTCTTATGTTAGCATTTTTGAAATTTTATTCTCACGTGTGATGTTTCGTTCTCCATTGTAGTATTTTTTGTACTATGTCGGCCAAATTAGGCTTTTTTATGTGTCGTGTATGGAATCATCAAGTTTTGTCGTCCTCCAAAATTATCATTTGTTTGAGCTTCCTAATTTCATGATTTGGGTTAATTCTGCACTGCCATATTTTTGAGTACTTCCTATGTTTGCTGAAAGTTAATCTATATGCAGTCGGTTGCTACCTTCTTTAGTCATGTCATGTATGCAATCGGAGGAAATACTGCTGGTCCAGGTTAGTTCATAGATTTATGTGGTTTTCCTTCTAGTATCACTATAAGTTTTCCTTTTTTAGGTGCTTAAAATATTGTTGAAATTTTCAGGGGATGCTGTTGTCAACGTTTATATAAACCATGAGAAGAAGTTTGCCTTTGTTGAAATGAGATCTGTTGAGGAAGCTAGTAATGCAATGGCTTTGGATGGTGTCATTTTTGAGGTACTAAAAATCATCTGATAGGTGTTTATATGTTAGCTTTCTACTTATGGTTGTAGGGTGTTCCTTGAAAACGAAGTAAAGAAAGAGAAGATTTTAGTTTCACCTCATTCACAGACTCTGATTCTCCCTATCTTGTTCGCCACCAGATAAAGTTTGGAACTAATGTCCCTTTGCCCCTTTCCCATTATATAATCTGGAGTCTGCAAACCCTGTCTTTCTGTGGTTTTTTATTTGTTTGTCTTCTTATGGTGATTTGTGGTGGTGGATAATGTATGACCAAAGCATCATGCTGCATTATGTCAAGTATTCTTATACATACATTTGTTTTCTGTGCACTTGATGTTTTGTTCAGGGCGGACCGGTTAAGGTTAGAAGACCCAGTGATTACAATCCTTCCTTGGCAGCTACACTTGGTCCTAGTCAACCGAGCCCCAACCTCAACCTGGCAGCTGTTGGATTGACACCAGGTTCTTCCGGAGGGCTTGAAGGACCTGACCGTATATTTGTTGGTGGTTTACCCTATTATTTTACAGAATCACAAATCAGGGAACTTTTAGAGTCTTTTGGTCAACTTCGAGGATTTGATCTGGTCAAAGATAGAGAAACTGGGAATTCAAAAGGTTATGCTTTTTGTGTGTACCAGGATGTCTCTGTTACTGATATTGCTTGTGCAGCTCTTAATGGGATTAAGATGGGGGATAAAACTCTTACTGTTAGGCGGGCTAACCAGGGCACAACCCAACCCAACCCTGAGCAAGAGAGTGTATTGTTGCATGCACAACAGCAGATAGCTTTGCAGGTAGAGATACTTCTATGCTCTTCCATTCAGTTTTCAAGTTCTTAGGCTTTAACACTTTTATAAAAAGGACTTTCAAGCTCACCCTTAGTGTTTTTTTCTTCTACAGAGGTTCATGTTACAACCTGGTGCATTAGCCACAAAGGTTTTGTGCTTGACAGAAGTGGTTAGCGTAGATGAGCTCAAAGATGATGATGACTATCAAGATATTTTGGAAGATATGAGGATTGAATGTGGTAAATTTGGTGAGTAGCCATATCTAGTGTTCTGTTTCCTCTAGCATACCTTATGCCTTGAACTTAGGTTGAGAATTTTAACTTGTATTTGCTTTTGTATGTCTACTTTGCAGGAGCTCTCCTGAATGTTGTCATTCCACGTCCAAATCCTAATGGCGAGCCTACACCTGGACTCGGGAAGGTACATGTCTGCTGATCTGTTGAGTCATCATCTAGATTAGTTACGTCTACAATCTGATCTTGACGTTCCTATATATGTTTGTTAAAATGAGATTCAACTTGTTTCTAATTTTCTTCACAATGACCAGCTGAAAAATGACTATTCTGTTAAGTGTCTTTCACTACGATTATTTATTGCTTCCTTAAACTGTTTGTGCATGGTTTGGAACAATTACAAAAGGGCTCCAATACCTTGCTCTTTTTTTTTTCTGGTGGTTTCTACTTCTGAATGTACAATGGTTAAGACTTGTATCCTGGTTCTTCAGGTATTCCTGGAGTATGCAGATGTTGACAGTTCCAGCAAAGCTCGCCAAGGGCTGAATGGAAGAAAATTTGGTGGTAACCAAGTTATTGCTGTCTTCTATCCAGAGAACAAGTTCTCTGAGGGAGATTACGAGGCTTAACTGTAACCACTATAGCTGTGACATAATATTCAGATTATTACAGGGAGTTGTTTGCATGTCCTATAGGAATTATATCCCCCTTTTGACAAAGATTATTAGTGTCCTGTCTTTTTTTCTTTTGCTTTTTTGTTTTGGTGAGCATGGGATATTTTATTCTGGATTAAATTTAGTTTGTGGTTAAAGCTGGTGTAAAGTATCAAACAGGAATAGTGTTATCGGGTTGTTTGAATGTCTTTTTTCTTTTTATAATTATGGCTATCCATTTTATTCATGTGCTTTATTGTTCCCCAGCCAAGAAGTTGCACAGTATTTTTTGTTTTGAGTGCACTCTATTGTTTATAATTTCTTGAACGTCACTTAAATTATAGTAGCAGTTTATACTGTAATGAGGTAGAGTTGATAGTTGGAAATTACTTGTTCTAGTGGATAGCTACTTAGGTCCTCTACTCTGTTAGTGGAACAGAAATAGGGGTTGGACTTGTCAAAAGTAAAATGAGTTTAGGCAGATGGTAATATCTTATCAAGATATCATCGCAGCATAACTAATGTATTTCGACATATATCTCTTTCATCACTCCGGCAATTTAGTCCAAATTTTAAATAATAAATGTGTAGTTTAGCTAGATAGAAATACGAATTATAAACTCTTGTACTGTATCACAATGTCTGGTCCCTTTGCTTCAATGTGAAAATGAAACGATAAAGTCGTTTTCTTGAACTATTCTCTGTATAGTTGGACATACCTCCGTGTTTTTTCTAATTCCAGTTGACCCCTTTGTTAGTGTAATTTGTAACAAATATGCTATTAATCTTACATAAAACCAGAAATATAAGATAATTAATTAAAGCTTTATATGGGTCATCCTATTTTTATGCACTAATGGAAAAACGTTCATCTTAAGAAATAATAAAATTTAAAAAAAGAAAAACAAGAAAGGGAAAAAAAATAGTAGTTAAAACTTTGTGGGGGCGGTCCATACCACTCCTCGGCATATATAATTGATGAAGAGTTTGAAAAACAAAACAAAAAAAAAAAAAGTAGATGCATTCAAGTCAACGGAAACATTAATAAAGTGTTAGAGAAAAGACAATTCAACTTTTTAGCATTTGTTTACTGGAATTACACTTTTAACTTAGGGTTATCCCATTTTAACTGTGTGACTAATTATATAATCATAAGGTAAAGTTTTGTTAATGTAAAAAACAAAAGAAGCTCACGTGCAACTTCGTATGCCACTATTCAACTTTGATAAAAATAAATAAATAGATAAGTATCTGTCCTCTTTAACTAGAGATCTCGAGTAGTCAAACTTCAATGTGAAAATCGGATATCAGATCAAAAACAAAAATCAATGAATTAGGATTATTTGTGAAATATTATAATGGTTATTCATGAATTAGGAACTGGACTAATGTTTTTGAATGTTCAAATTTAACAAAGACTAATATAAGGAAAAGAATGTCCAAACAATAATTTTCACTTAAAAAGGGAAAAATTAAGTGACTTTAATATGAAAAAAATGAATAATTTTTCGATCAGATTAAATTTTATTAAATATATATTATGTTATTTGTCCTCCTCAATAAAGTGCTAAATCGACATTTTGTGTAGATTTTTAATCTTTTGAGTCAGCTAAGCCTCTTTATTTGAAGTGTGACAAATCAATTGTTTGACTAGTAGTACTAAATGAGTAAATATAATGTAACATGTCCACTGGCAAATAGCTGTTTCTCAAACACTTGCAGGAATATAAAAGGAACAAAGAAAATAAGATTATGCCCTACTCTTAAAGAATGCACAGCAAAGTGTAAGGGAGAAAATTCAAAGATTTAACTTGTTTGAAGGGAAAAAAAAAATTAAATACCAAATCATTTAAAGGGAACATTGTGTTATTAATGAAATCATAACAATATGTTAGTGACTAATATCTTTTTATTTCGCAGTGGAAGGAAAACAAAATTACACAGAGTATTAAATTCATATAATTATATATATTCTATCATGGAAGTTGTTCCAATTTTTTTAAAAATAGATTTTTTATTGTTCTCGGATACATTCCTGATTTGTTTGATACATTGTAAATAATATATTATTTGATGGGAGGAATTTTTCTAAGACGAGAAAGGAGTGTATCCAAGAATGAATTTTTGTAATTTTTTTAAATGGATAGAAAAATTCAGAGATTATGATATTTTAATTTTTGTGTTTTTTATAAATGTTTTTGTTATTTTCTCTAATAAAAAAAAACTTTTCGACCACTATTTTCAAATATTGATCATCGGTTACTAATTTTTTATCCAATCTAATATCGTCATAACATAAAAAAAATTAAATGAATTTATAGATAAAAATATACCTGTTTAATTTCTTAATCGAGAGGAAATGGACACTTTACCTCAACCCTTGACGTGATAACGAAGAAAAACTGTTTATTAAAGCCTAACATTGATAAGTCAGATATCATCAAAGAATGTGGTGCACTGAATGAAGTTATTTTTCTTTTAATTATTTAATTTCGAGCCTTGAATATAGAAAAGTCTTTAATGAAAAGAATTTTCCTATGAATCCTATACGATACTAATTTAATATGAGTATCAAATATGAAAAGGAAAAAAAAACTATCTAGTCAAAGTGGTTTTCTTAATCATATATATGTAACCTCTAGTTATCAATTATTACAAGGAACAAGGATTTTTCATCATGATTATAAATCATTCTTCATTAAAAAAGAATGATGTAATAGTTGAGGCAAAATAAATATTTATTGATCAGTGAGAATTTACTATTTTGTTTGTATTTTTTAACTTGTATGATGATTTTTATTTTGAGAGTCAAATAATATGTGTTTTATTTTTAAAAAAAACTATATGGTTACCCAATTTTTACGTGAACATGTATATACGTAAAGTAAATCCTGTCAAATTATACAAAAGTTGAGCTGACAATAATTTAGATGATTAATTGTAATCCTAATAAAAGATCAATTGCTAATAAAGGATTGGGACCAAAGAAAGATTACAACACCAAATTTTCAACTCCAGTAAATTGACACGTGGAATTTTTCAAATTTAGATGAAATTATAACTTAATTAGTTTAAAGAAAGTTAGCTCGACTTTTTTCTCTCAACCAAATTAATGCAATACACCTTTTTTTTTCTTTTTCTAATCTACCTTAATTCAACCAAAAAATCATATTTTTTTTCTCACTTATTATGTGTTTGAAACTTAATTGATTCTATCATTATAATTTAGAACAAAGAATCAAACTTCACCTTCATCTTTTAATTAAAAGATAATGTTTCTCTCTTAATTCTCTAAAATTATATTTATTTAATTTTCAAATTCTTTTTTTTATGGCTTTTGTTTGCTTCTTTTTTGGCAATTTTCAGTAAAGCTTTTGTAAAAAATGAAAAATAATTTTCAAAAACAGCTCCAAAACCTAAATGCTCTCTCTTTTTTGTATTAGAAACTTTTTGCCTGAGTTTTTATTAAATTGACCATTGCTATTTGGGACTTCCCAAGTAGTGGGGACTAGGAAAATCTTGGACTTTATATATGATTTGATTAAATTTTTTTTTAATTTTTAAGATTGAGTTAATCATAAATTCTTTTACAGATTGAATTGATTCTTATTTATGAAAATTTTTAAGATTGAATTTGACACATATTTTTTCACAAATTGAATCGATTATTGTTTACTAGAAAATAGTAACAGTTAAAGTCTAATATTTATAGTCAATTTCAAATATTTGCATTTTTACATTCTATCTTTTGGATAATGAAAAAGTTGGATGGTGAAAGGCTACTGATCATTGAAAATTAATAGAGAAGACACAAGATGTGATAGTAAAAATTACCCGATTAAATGCTGAAAATTTAATCAAAGTATTTTGTGTAAATTGGTGACTTTTGATAATTCTAACGAGATAATAAATTCAGATTAAAAATTGATATATAATTGTTTTGATGTATTTATGTTAGTTTAATTGAACACAAAAAATAATTTTTTTTAAAAAAAAATTATGATGTATTAAAATAATTCTCAATTTATAGTGTTAAACATGCTTGGTGGATTATGTCGGCTTAACAATAATGTCCAAAAAAATTACTTTAAAAAAAATAAATTAAAAGGGATAAACAAAATTGAAGAGAGAATTTCCAATGTTCTCATTTTTTGAGTTATGAATTTATTTATATTATTAGTACAAGTAAGGAAATACTCATATAAATGAAAAAAATTCATGTTTTGGAAACTACAACCACTCCTCTGAATCATTTTACATGATTCAAATATAAAAATATATATATTTAAATTTAATTTATTTAGTTATTTTAACAAATTTAATTAAACTTAAACTTTCTAATACTATTCTTAATTTAAAATAGCTATATAATAGAAAATGATAATAAATTCAATATAAAATTTGAAGATATTAATAACAAAAGTAATTTAGTTAATTATATTTTTTATTTAACTTTTTAAAAATTATAAATCAACTTACAATAAGTATATATATATATATATATATATATAAAATATTAGTAGACGTCTTTATCCTCCAGAAATGAGACACATTTATGATTTATTTACTTTTTATTTTCTTAGACACATTTATTTACTCACTGTAAAGAACAAGTACTAGCTACTACACACTAGTACTATGATTTTTATTTTTCATTTGATTAATTTTCTGTTCTGTTTTATTATTTTATTTTTCTTCATCTTCTTGAAAAGTAAGAATGAAGACCAAAACTGAGTAGACTTTTTTTGCGGTCTCTGTTTTCACATTAAATTTCCTCTCTTTCTCTCTATTGATTTCCGAGCCGCCGACTTGCGTTGTCACAACTGCTTCTCATTTTCATCGAGTTTTTCTTCATTACTTTTACTTATAAGCAAACCCATTTACTCGAACTTAGCGACTTTCCCGGCAGAAAGTTCACGCCGGTGATTGACTTTCTGGTGATTTTGGAATCTGGGTTTTTCAGCTAATTTCTATGTTATGGGGATTTGCTATTTTAGCTTGGTTTGATCAAAACTGGTAGTTGGGTGTATGAAAGAAAGAAAAACGAAAAAGCAAGATTGACTGGTAGATACGGCGAAAAGAGAGAAAGTATTGACTCCCCCAAGAAAAGATTGATATCAAAAAGGTTTTTTTAACATAAATGTTCTAAAGATTTGCTTTTTTGAGCAACCCCCCCCCCCCAAAAAAAAAAAAAAAAACATGCCGGCCGACCCAGATAACTCATCCGCCATGAACGATTCTACAGGCTCAG